ATTAAATCAAACAATATTATCATGGCAGGTTATATATAGTCCATTCTCACCTACACCAATGTGACGTTAAATCAAGTGGCATGCAGTGCTATACCAAAAATTATTGTGTCACTAATTTTATTCTACCTTCCATGTTCTGTATATGAGCAGGGAGAATGATATATAGTCAGGAAGATTAAATACGTTTAGGTTATCTCCTCGTATGCTAAGGTTGCCTACTGCTTCTGTTGCAGGAATTTTATGATTTGGTGTCTGGACTGTGTAAAATCACAATAACTTAATACTTTTTCTGGATACTCTAGGCAACTATACTGATTATTGGGTTTTATTGGATGTGCTTTCCTTTAGTTAATATAATAATTTTGTAATATTATTTGGCCAAAGGACTACAGAATGCCAATGGAAATGAAACAGAATGCAATAATTTGATAAACTTAATAAATATAGGTCAGTGTGAATTTGTAAAATGATGAAGTTCTATGCAGAATTATTAAAAACTGTATATTACTGAAATCATCACTTGAAGACCTTTCCAAAAGTGCCAGGAACAATATTGTATGTGTATTTTTAACCTTTATACAGACAGCAGGAGCACTGTCAACTGAATTTGCATCTCATAGCAGGAACCAACACTACTGCCTACTGCATAATGAAGAATCAGAATAACAATAAGTTACCTTGTCAGATGATTTTTTTTTATTTTTAAACTATATAGAGCAAGTAATTTTATCATTAACAATTCAGTAGGTAATTAACAGATTTGTTACACAAGATCATTTTTAATTGTGGGTTTTGAGCACATGTGTTGATAATACTATGCCTATTTTCAAAAGCATGAAACATTCCCTGTGACAAGGACAACATGCTTTGTGTTTGCCTGTATATTCATGGTTTTGGTAAAAAAATACATTCTGAACTTGCCGTAGCAAACATTGATATTCTTCTGATTTGTTTAATAATTTTGAGATCATGATAAAACATTACATCTGTGAAAATCTCCACATAATTCTCCTAGAAGGCTATTCCATAAAAATGTGTGGGAGAGAAAGTCTGATTGGACTAAACTTATATGGTTAGTAGGAAGATGCAATAGCTGTGAGATAGGCTTTAAGATAAAGCAAAGATTGTGTGCTAAAATAGTTATCCAATTTTTGAGTTTTTAAATAAGCAATACTTTTCCAGCTATGAGCTATGCAACAGACTGGTTGCTTACAAAAATAGAACAAGATTATCAAATAACCTAAAACATGTTTTGCATTTACAGAACTCTTTTTCTGCTGCAAAATTTATTGAAGCTTTAAAAAAGCAGGCTAAACAATTTGCCTTCTCCTACTTCACATTGAACCAGGAAAGGTTGATCCTGAAGCAAAGTTGGTCCAGAATCCATAGAGTATCATGTATCACAGCTAGTATTCATAATGCCACTGAGATGATACCTATATATCCCAAGAAAAGATTGCTCAATTAACCCCTCATATTTGCAAACAAAGAGAAGACTGGCAGGAAGTGTACTGATTTAATCCAAGAATCATTTAGTTTCAATTGATTTCCTATTGATTTTAATAGAATTTGAATTTATTTTCTCTGGGAAGACATACATGTAGAAGACCCCAAGCATGAAACTTCCCAGTGAACACATTTCCATGTAAGCTCTGTGGAACTCTAGCTGCATTTGGAGGGTTAAGTTTATATCATTAGTATCACTTATCCTTCTACACATTATTCTGTATGGCAACATTAAACCCCTGCACAGTGCATGACATGTTAGTACTAATCTGCTAATGTGTGAAATAGTATATTCATATCTAACTGCTTTACATTCTCTGCTTGTGTTGCTCCTTTTCAAATGCTTGAAAGTATGGCAAAAGAGATGAAAGTTTCAGGTTCAAATAGCTTGAAAATAAATCTATATTTATGCTAAAGCATCTATGTTTCCAGTCAAGCAATGTTTGGACTGCTACATTCCAGTTATTTTGTACTGCCTCTCAGGAGAGAATCATCCTGGGAGCTATTATCCCTGTGACAGAATTGTCTGCATGTTCTGTACAACTCTACAGGACAGTATAATGCCTGATAGAGATATTTTGGAACAACAGATAAAATGAGTCTGCTGCAAAAGTATGCTGAAAATTATTTATAATTTTAAAATTTTTTTGTTTAAATTTTAATCTTAAAATTTTTTTAACTATTACATGGATTACAGTACAAGTATTACTGAGGGTATGTCATAATCAGGGATGATCATCGTGATAGCACTGTCTAAAAAGATCATGAATTACATGGAACTTCAAAAATTATTTTAGGCTTGATTTAATTTCAGCAAGTAATGATTATTAATAATTCACTCAAAGCAATCTGATAAATTCCCATTGATGACAATGGGAAACATTTTGCATCCCATTATCATTATTTCTGCAATACAAATTTGTATCTTTGACATTATTTGTCGGTTTTTATGACCAGTTGTGTTCTAAATCAAAAGGTTTCCATATTCACTGTTGGGAAGAAGTACCTTAGTATATAAGAACGTGAATAGACTGTAGTAATATTTTGATTATTATTTTTCCAGTTGTAGATAGGGGTACTAAAGCTGAAAAGAGGGCTCTGTAATCAGAAAGGAATAGTATTAAATATGTAAACCACAGATCATACACTCTGATATTGAAGGTTAAGAGGCATAAAATAAAAGAACAAAGTTGATACTATATGTATTGTCTATTTATTAATTTGTTTGTGATTGATGGATCTAGAAAAAAGAGTTTCCTAGTAAAAAATGCTTATGTACCTACATGTAGTGACTCTGAAATCTGTACCTTGAGGACAAAGAAAGGTCGCCAATCTCTCCAACTCCTAGTTCTTTGTCAAAAATGGACACAGTTAATGAGGTTTGTTTGGTACAGCACAAATTCTCAGATTCAGATAGAGATCCTTTCAATGGAAACAAATTTGTTTGGCTTTACCAGGTTACTTAGCGATTAATAATAGCCTTGAGATGCAGGTCAGGAAGGTCATCGTCCCCGCTTGCCAACACAATCTAAAATGTGCAGCTACTCCGGCTCTGCAGGCTTTGAGGCCCCAGAACACTATGCATAAAGTAAAACAGGCTATTTTCCAACTTCTTTTTTCATATTAATAAGCAATTTTCAAGAGAAGGGTGGCAAAATGGGGGCCATGCCACTCTAAGTAATTCATTTATTTTGCAATTTAATCTTATGTTGGAAAAAAATTACACTGCTGCAAAAGCATAGCATGGTGATTTTTAAACGTCAGTGTGCTTCATAAGTAACCTTGTATGAAATATTGTATTAGCAGCCTTTAACAGTAAACTGCAACAAAAAATATTTTCAGAGATTCAGAAATACCTGTGCATCTTTTCTGCTCTGTATTTCCTTTTAATTATATTTTTCTTTTACAGTTGAAATAAAATGTTTAATTACTTAATATTTTACTTATTTTAATTGATAAAATCTTGAAAGATAACATGAAACAAATCAAAGTTCTACACCGCAACTTGTATTTAAGAATGTGATTTCAAAGTGTTCATATTTACAAACCAATTACTGCTCTTTCATATATTTTGATGAACTAATTTAATGATAATTAACATATTAAGAGTAAGTCTGAATCACAATATTAAAAAACACTTTTGGGAGCAATATGCCTTTTCCATGGGATTATTCATATCAGCAAACTTACCCATGTGCATATTTTGACATGATTTTACCCATGTCCTCACACTGTCTTATTTGGTACTCATTGAAACAACTGAGACTATTAATGTGGACCTCTCTAAATAATCTGTTTTGCAGGAATATTTGAATTATGAATATTTAGTTATGTGAATAATATTTTTTCTTTTTATTTTATTGTATATACACGTACTAAGAAACATAAGGACTAGAATTTACTCACCTAATTAAACTTTTTAGCAATCTAAATGCTTGACTGAATATGTTTGGTTTCTTTGGCACACAGGTTAATTTGAACTAGCCATTTTGTAATAACAAAATTAACAAATGTTAATCAAACTAACCTTTTTTAACTGGGTCAAAAAATTCTATACACGTGCACCGTGCACAATAGCACAGAATTTTGTCTCTTATTGAACATTAATTCACTCTACTGTTTGCATAATTTATGACAAGCCTGGCTCTGAAAAAAAACCAACATCAATTTGGAAATCTATGCCCATTTTTTGTTCACGTTTTCCTGTAAACATTCAGTTGAAATAATGAGTTTTCTCTGTTCTTTGAAACCTGGTATTGCGTATAGTTCCATATTTCTTTTATAATGAAAGGGTTTTCTGCACAGACTCACACATTTAGGTGACTCTGTGTGTGTGCACATCTCATTCATGAAGCAGTTCAATTCCTGGTTCTTGTGGTGGCCTCTACAGCTCTCATCAAACCAGAGCAGAAATGACCTGTGCAAGGAGCCCAGTGCCACAGAACCTCCTCCCAAGGACAATGTATGCATGAAAGGTTCCCATCCCATTTTTCTCTGGGCCTACTTTCTCAACCTTACTCAAGGATCCAGGAGTGAATATCATCTTCTATCCCATGTCTGCTATGCTCTCTCATTCCATAAAATCTCTCCTGTCTGCAGATCAGGAGGTGTTGCAAGGCACTAGCTGAAACATTAGAGAACAAACTGTATTTATATTGTAATAGCCTCCACTTAGAGAAATTCGAAGTAAAATGACACTTAAATGCAAATAAAAGGACTTAAATGAATACTATTTTATCAAGCTGTAAGCAATGTGAACCTACATACTGCTCCTAATTTTGATCATTTTAATCCTGTTTCTTCTTAGTTATATCCATGTAGTATCCTACTGCTGTGGAACTGAAAAAACAGTAATTTTACATTCCAGTGGTGTCAATATACTGCTAATATATTAGAAGAAAATACTGTGAAGCTATGAAAGGGTTAAATTAAAATAGAAGACTAGCACGTATTTTGTTGTTATAATATAGTTAAGCAGACTTATTTTATTACAGGCATGAACTTCAAGAGTACACAGAAATGAAGGAAAATGAAGAGAAAATGAAAGACCTAGAAAAGAAAGACAAGGAAAAGAAATACCAAGCCCGAAAGATGCATTACCTCCTTAGCACTAAACAGGTTGGTGGACCTGTCCCTGACAGCTCATGCAAACCACTTGGGCCCCCAGCCTGACAGAGATAAACTAGCAGGCTGAATGGGACATGACTTGTTGAAAAGATATCACAAAGACACTACTTCGAGTTCAATTTAGTGCTTTTCTATAGGCAAGAGCAGGTACCATGACTATTCTGTGACAGTAGCTCATAGAGGCAGCATCAGCACTGCTGGCAGAAAGAGTCCAAGTCAGCAGTTTGATCTGCCACTGTGATAACACAACATGAAGGGCATAACCTCGCTTTAAAAACTCATTTTGACTGGCTTATTGTTGTGTTGTTGCACTTGTCAAGAACTAACAAGTTATTAAGCTGAGAAGGGATTTGATTTTTTTTCTCCCGTTTTTAATTGAGCTAATGCTTTAGGTTGGTGCAGTGTTCTGCTTGTTTTTAGGATAGATTGCTAATGTGGGTTTTTTAGCTAAAGCTTTTCTTAGAACTTCCCGAATCAGCTTATTTAGCATGATTTTTTTCACTCAAAAATACCCAATATATCTTAAATATTTATTATTAATTCATTTTGTATCAGTATTACTGGTATATTATTCCAAAATGTCTTATGGAAGCTGCTTTAAACAGATAGGTAAACATGCCAGTAGATATATCTCACATAAATTTAATATAATTGGTAAAGCTTGTGCGTTTGCCTTTTTTTTTAGTCCCCACTTGTAAACTTTCATAAAAAAAAGAAAAGGATTTTGTCTCCATAAGTGTTTGGTGGCTGATTGTTCTTTGTACAGATATTGAATTAAATATGAACGAAATGCTTGCTTTTTTAAAGTTGTCAATCATAATCTGTTTAAGAACTGCCAATCCTAAAGAATGCAGGAAAAATACTATTACACTTCATGACAAAATAATGTTCCCTTCTGTTTGGGAATTATTTGTGATATATTATATCCTGTAGATAGAAATGTGGTTTGATTATGTTTAAGTATTTTTTTTAAAGCATAGTATAATATAAGGAAAAAATAGCATAAAAAGTTTTCTCCATGGCTATTAGACAAGGAAGCTAGTTAATGACTGAAATTAGCTCACTATAATTTATTTTTCCACATGTAAATCTAGGATATTAAGAATAATCTGCACAGTGTTTTACATTGTTTTGAACTGTAGAAAATTGGGAATTCTTATTTTGAACAGTGCAATTTATATAAACACATGCATTTAATATGCTTATCTGAAGCACAAAAATTGTCAGGTTGGAGGCATGGAGTGACTTGTGGTCTAGTTAAGATTTTAGTAAGCTCAGTTCACCTCCAGTGATACAGGCTTAGCAAGCTGTAACACTTTGAAAGGAGTGGCAAGTAGTTCTTCATTTCAGCCACGGAGGACTGCTGCTAGAGGGCAGCAGTAACTTTTATGTTCTGATGAATTTTGTTTACTAATTTTACAGAATTAGAATTTAGCTGGCAGTGCTTTTAACTAGCAGAACAAAAAAATTCTTGGTTTTGCTTGTTGAGATGGTTTGTGAATAATGAGACTCAGAGCCCACAGAAGTTTTTCTTTATCAGACAACTGTGCTCTAAGAGCTGTCTTCTATTGCAGGTAGTATTTCAAAACAGGAGTAAATGTAAATCAATGGAAAACCTACAGACAACTTGAAAACCAGTAAAGATATATTTGAATTTAACTACTTACTGTGAAGCCTGTATCCCACTGCTCCACATAGTTGTAGAATCTGATACCTTCCTAAGATACACTGCAAATTATTTTCATGCAGAATTTACTGGTTTGATGCTTTGTGCCTGACATTTTATTCTCTGAATGTCTGGTCTGACCTGGCTACAGCTACATCTTGCTCTTTTCTAAGAACAGTTAATTGGATTACTGAGCAAGGACCATTCATGTTTCAGTAGAAAAAGGCAGCAAAATCAGCACTTTTGAGTGAGTTAAGAAAACATATAAATTGTAAGCAGGGCACATAGCAAATGAAAAGGGGACTTTGATAAGCTGATTTATTGTAGACTCATGCATTACCTAGAGCCCAGTAAGTTATAGAGATGACCTGCCAAAGTTTGGTTCTCCTCCCCTTCCTGCCATATGCCATATGCACTGATCTTCAGTGGCAGAGCTGAGCCACCTCATGCATCAAGGCTGCAGGTAGTCAGGCAGGTTGTATGGACAGCATTGAAAATTCTGTATTTGCAATAATTGTTTCAAATATGTCCTATTATTTGGAGTATTTTTGTTTTAATAGAGGCAAAAAGAGTGAGAAAAGGGTGTTTACTTATTGACAGAAATTAAGGAATTGTTGCTCCTCAATTTTTGTTAAGAAAGGCATGTCAATTTTCATTCTTCTCTCCCAAGCTGAAGCCCACAAGAACATCTCAGAAGTGTGTTTCTAGATATATATATCTATATCTTTATCTATAACTATGTCTATATCTTTATCTATATGCAAGGTGTACCCATTCCTAATTGCTAACGTGTTTTACTTTCAAGATGTAAAACTGAAGAATGTGAGTGTCAGGAATGTACAGGGGTGTCTGGTATGGATTTAATAGCATGGCCTATGATTAATTTAGTGTTTAGTCCTTTTTATTAATTAACTTGTTATTCAAGATTTATTTCTTTCATAAACTGTTACTTCATAAAGGAAAACCACTTTCTGGTTGCTTAATGCAAGAGATTCCAATGTAAAATACAGCAAGGAATAATTCTATATAGTGGCAACTTTGTGACTTCCAAACCAAATTCAATTTTAAAAGTAGGATTCTCTGTATTTCCAGTTTTAAATTTCTTATATAACACAATCCTTTTCTTATATGTTTTTTTACCTTATCGTGCTGATAAATTTTGACTTTATGATGAACATAATAAAAATTATATATTTAACAAGTCCTTCTTAGTTAAGAATATTTCTTATAATTTCCTATTGGTGACAAAATTTGTTTTCATCATTTTTACCTGTTTTATTGTGAACTGAATTGTGATTTCTTACTGGGACATGAAACTTAAGATAATTAAATTTTTCTTATTAGTCCAGAATCACAGTATGCTATTTCCACTACAGTGGTAATGATTTTTTTTTTTTTCAAAATACCATTAATAAATGAACTACATTTAAATATGGTTTTCCATTATAAACATGTTTACCTATGCAGATTATTATTCTATATCCCTGTAGTTCTTCTTTCTGTATTAATAACCTTCACTATAATTGAACAGGTTCTGCTGCTCATTGTCATATTTTCAAGGCTAACATTTGTAGTGAGGACCATCCCCTGCCAAGAGCTGACAAATGACCTTTAAAGTCAACTACAGAAAAAAGCACTGAATAGATTCATGGCACTTTGCAGAAATGGGGATGAAGGGCCCACTTGTTTTGAAATATGTGGTTGCATGATTACTTGATTACTGTCATTGGTATTTTCATCCTTTCAAGAAATTTTGTAGTTGGTTTTTGTCTTACAGTGGTGATGAGAGTCAAGAGTATGACAGTCTAAACCCAGAGATCCAGTATCAAGCTAGAATGCAGACCTGTGTTGTTTTCAGTATCTGCTGACGGAGCAAGCAGCAATGCTGAGGTGATTCTGTGCGTGGGAACAGGTGCATCAGCACCTGCAAGTCCACAGTCGGATGGGGAGCAGAAGCCAGTGGTATCTGAAATACAGAGCAGAAGTGGTGTCCTGTAAAGTATTGAGTTCAGGAGAAGAGCCCTGTGGAAACAGTGTTCCAAGTGTCACAGCTGAAAAGGCCTTCTGCTATCACATTTTCTCCTATCACTGAGGATAGGATTGGAGAATCAGCAGAGCAATAGATTTCTTCCCTTTATAGTTTTTTACTGTATAGCAAACAGTACTGGGTGAGGTAAAAGAGAGTTTTAATTCTCTTTTCTCCATTTCTTCTGTTTCTAAACAGTTAAATACAATTACGTTTTGTCACACTAAATAAATGTACAACTAGGCCTGGAAGCCAAATTTCTTTTGATCTCCAAAATCTTGAGAGCTTTGTCACACAATTGAAGAACATACTTGTACATTGTTAACAGTGGGATGTTATACATTCATCACTTAAGCTTATCATTGCTGTGGCTTGTGGGCTGAGTCACAGCCTCTCTTCTAAAGCTGGACCTCCTGCTCTGTGATAAATCATGCTGAGAGCAGATGAGCTAATGCTGCTCCTCTGTTCTCTGGGAGCTTCTGTTCTATCTGAATGCTCTAACTATTGAGACCTTACAAAATTAATCATGCTGTTGTGTGTGTATGTCTACACTTGACTTTTGTATAGGATCTTCTTTCTGTTAGCCCCTGACTAATTAGAAGACCTGACTGAGTCAGACTTAAGGCTCCTCTGGCAAGCATCCTGTCTTTGACAGTGGCCAACAGCATGGCCTAGGGTAGAGGAATAAAATGGAGCAATGGGGCAATATAATTACTGTCAAGAATACTCTTTCAGTTTCCAGCAAACAGTAGTTGAAGGACTTGTAGTTCTTAGCTGTGCATCTTTCTATTCCTGCCTCTGTTAATACCCAGGGAAGGAATAACCTAGACAGGGAGAGTGGCTCAAGAGATCTGGCACTAACACTAGCTCTTAAGTTGTGCTTCCTTGGAAGATCAGATTCCCTCCTTCTCCTGGCAGTGTTGTTTTGCTCATACATGTTCATTTCACAGCTTTGCTGTCTCTGATATTCTGTCACAGGAGAATATGCAACTGTGAAGTGCCTTATTCTTTCTCCACAATTTCATCTGGTTCTGGGGATTGCTTCTGCCACTCTGAGCAACACTGAAGTCCATCATTTTTCAGCCCTCTTTAGCAAGGTGACAGTTTTTCCTGATGTCCTTGTGCAGTTTGTGAACAGATACTGCTCATAAGATCCTGGTAATTTAGGGCTGCAAGGGAAGAACAAAGTCCATGTGTAATAATTGGCCCTTTTCATTGCAGAAGTTTTAGAAACTATGGCATTCCTTTTAGCAGCAAGACATGAATTCTCTTTTTGGATCACAGATGTTTGGTTTTCAG